CCATCAAGTTGGCATCAACTTATAGCATCCTCATGCACAACACAGCATACCACTGCCTGATCCTTCCTCCTCCTCACAACCTGCTGTGGATCAGAGCATTTTGACTATAAGGTTTCTAAAGGATTTTTGGAACTAGAGTGCCGGGCCTTTCTTCCTGATCATCTTAGTCTGGAAGCTCTGGCAAAACCTGTTCAGCCTCACAGCAACATAAAAGCCTCCGGTGACAGCCAGCAGTGGGTGTTCATGGCATGCACTGGCCGGGAACCAAGCCAGAATGTATCCTGTGGGTGATGGAAATGCTGCCTTTGCCCCACCAGCATAATGAGATTTCTAAAGAATAAAGATTAGTAAAGAAAACTTGTCACTGCTTTGAATATTGCAGGAGCAATGGTGTATGCAGTGTGTGACAGTGGAACACCCTGCTGAGGACATCTCTAGTGGTCAGGACTTCATGGGACATGCTTTGGACATGCAGTGGTCAAAGCCAAGAGGAGTGTGGTTTCACTGCACTTGAGATGGGATTTGTCTCCATGTTGGTCATGTAAGAGGGGTCCTTGGAGAGAGGAGCATTTTGAGGGCTGCTGTGTGTGTGCTTCCTCACTTAGGACCACCCACCTGCACAGTAGGCACTGCCCAGCAGGCCAGTGGCCTGGAGCCTGGGCAAGCCTCACCCCATCTCACTGCAGCTATAGCTGCTAAATGATTCTTCCACCTAAACTCCAGGTTTTGCTCTTTTATTTTCAGAGCTACACAAAGCCAAGCTGTATCTGTTTGCTCAGCCTTAATAGAAGCACACTCACTAATAGCAGTCACTGAATAATTCTGTGCACTTTCCTTAAATGTCTCCTTTTTTAAAAAACAAATAAAATGAAGACACTGAGTATAATTTATTGCTAATATTTTATGAGATAAAAAGGTTTAGACTAGTTTTTAAGGGAAACAAAATTCTTTTTTTTTTTTCCATTTTACAACAAACTTGTTTTCTTGAGAACACAGTCCTTATAGGTGTTTTGGACAAAATTCATTCTTAATGCAAACTGACCTTGGGTAATTTGGCATGAAAGACCTTTTTTAAAAAAAAAATTATTCTTTTGTGTATGTGTACCGGCAAATCAGATCTGACAGATACAGGAGGAGATTGTCCCTCCTTCTCCAGCAGAGCATCTCATGGATCCAAACCACACACCTCTGGGATTGCAGTGCAGTTTCTTGCCACTAGGGGCAAGAAAGATTTTTATGCAGACCAGTTTGTTGAAAAACAAACTGGAAATGATATGAACTAAAAATGGAGCCGAAAAAATGGCATCCATCGGCTGGTTCTTTGCGTGCCCACTGTGTGCCAGGCTTTCCTCTAAGGACTGAGGAGGTGCCAGACTGAGGAAACACGGCAGGTGTCATGTCTCCCGCAGCCTCACACGTCACACACAGTGTCTCGGTTCGCTCTCATGATGCCTCTCTGAGGTAGGGACTTTACTCTCTCATAGCTGAGCACTGGTTTGTGTGGGGGTTAAACCTACCCTGGCTTCCACAGCCAGGAACAGTCGACCCAAAATCTGGACCCAGGAGGGGCCCGGACTCTAGAAATGTGTATGTTAGAGATTTGATTGTGTTTTCTGATAAAGATCTGTTTTAAGTATTAAACCCAGGATGTGACCTTGTGAAGGTGGCCTTGTTTGGAAATGGGTTCTTTGAGGTGTTGGGCTCACATGTGGGCATTCCTGCAGGAGAATAGATTCCAATCTAGTCTGAGTGGTGTCTTATTGAAAAGAACAGATAACGGGAGTTAGATGATGTGACCATGGAGGCAGAGATGAGCCAAGAACCCTAGATTGCTGGAAGCAAGGAGAAACCAGGAGGGAGGGAGGCCGAGGGCATTGCCTCTCCCCCTCCCTAGCCCTTGGCCAGCATCACCCCAAATGCCCTTGGTTAATATCTCCCTGCCCCAGAGCCTGTGTCTAGTGCCTTCTCCCACCAGCCCTTGGCCAGTACCTCCCCCAAACCCTCGGCCAATGCCTTCCCTTCACCAGCCCTCGGCTAGTACCAACCCTGAACCCTTGGCCTGGATTTACTTGGATTTGTACCATTAGTTTCCAGGACTGAGAGACCATAAATTTCTGTCCTTATAAACCACCTGTTTTGTACGGTTTTGCTAACGTCAGTCCTAGATGACAGACACTGGATAACTACCACGTTAACCGAAAGGTTAATGATGCACTTCCAGTGAAGGGCCTGGCGTTATCCTTCCCCAAAGTCACCCACTGAAAACCCTTTGACGCATAATCCTGACACATGGGTTATCTCCATGAATCAGAATCAACTCATCAACAGCTGGTTCTTAGTCCTCCTGAACTTTTTTTTCTTTTTTGCTTTCTTTGAACTTACTGTGAGACATTGATTGCCTCTAGATTTAAAGTCAGCTCAGTCATTAAATGAACTCTCTGTACAGGAACTTGCCTTCACTGTCCCCTTAGCAGATAATATCGCTGTCTGCAGTCAGCTACAGGTCCACCACAAACAAAGCCAGCGAAAGTGGAAAAACAAGCCCTGTTGTACTGACAAAGCTGCTTTTCCTGGTGTCCAGTGGTGAAGTTGCTGAGGTGGTAACATCATGGACCCAGACAGAGATAAGAGATGTGTAACTATCAGGCCTCTCTGCGTGAGAGAACGGCAGTGCAGGTGTCAGCAGAATGAGATGCTGTGGGAAGATGGAAGGTGTTCTGGTTTATAGTTTGTTGTTAGGGGTCATGGAGCTGATTCCAGCCCATTGTCCCCGTGTAGTCTAAGTAGAACTGACCCATAGGGTTAGTTATCAGTGAAATGCTTAGCTCTTACATTGTGAGCACTCCGTGTGGAATTTATACAGTAGTGAATTTGTCCTCAGAGTTACTTTGTCTTCAGTTGGTCCAGGAGCCTGAGATGCTATGCATTAACTGTTGGGTTGCTAACATAAAGGTTCTTTTTCGAACCTACCAGCTACTCTGCCGGAGGAAAATGGACAATTTTCCTGTAATGGTTCATGGCCTACCCTGTAGGCAGTGCTTCACTGTCCTGTAGGATAGCTGTGAATCCATACCAAATCCATGGCAATGGGTTTTTATTTTAAAATCAGCATGTATCAGCTTTCATTTCTTCTCTTTTTTTTTTATTTATCCATACAAAAATATTTAGTAGCCACTGTTGGTGTTTTTTTTTTGTTTTTATATTTTTGTTTTGGTAAATATATTTAATTAATTGTTCTACATTTCTCTATTCTCCTGTACACGATTCAGTGGCATTAGTTCAGTCACTGCACTGCATTGTCACCACCGTCTTTTCCCAAACCTCCCTGTCGCCCTTAACAAAAGCTCATAAGCATCAAGTCCCATCACTCCCACCCCCCGCCCATCCCTGGGAGCCACTAATAAGCACTAGACTTTATATACATGCCCATCTTTTTTTTTAATTAAAAAATTTATTTTATTCTCAGACCCCCTAGGTTGTATAGCCCTGGTGTACAAGTTGCTGTACAGCGGTTACTTGTGGTTGCTGTGAGGCTGAACACTGTGACACGGATGTGTCAAATGCGTTAATGGTAAAGGGTGGAGCTCCCTGATTAAAACAAGCGTGGAAGGAGGAGTGGCATCCACTTCCATAACAGCTTGCCTCCGGAAACCCTATGAACTTGGAGAGAGGATGAAAGGCACCCAAGCGTCAAGGACTCTCCTTCATAGGGTCGCTATGAGTTGCCTGAGACTCGATGGCATTTAGCAACAACAACAACAACATTAAGATTATTATAACTTATATTAGCCTATAGAAAGATACTTTTATATTCTGTACTTATTAACAGTTAAAAAACATTCCTCTTCTTCTTGCATTAAGAAAAAATGTATCTATAAAAACATGCCATAACATGGTAATCCTAAACTCTGTAAAGGAACTTCACAGCCACTGAATTTAAAACACGGAAATTCTATAAATGTCTTGCAAATGTATTTTAGCCTTTCCTTTGTGGGTAGCAGTAACATGCATATTTTAAACAAGAGACCTGGTGATTGGTAGTTTTTCACTATAGCAAAGTCTTGTCTCCTGTCAGTCAGCTCAAGTTTATGAAAGTCCTGCAGTAAAAGTCATTTGTTTCCTGATGAGCTTGAGATAGAATGAATGTGTTGGCTGACTGTTTTGGACACCCATGCTTAGCATGCTGATATCCTTTACTGTTAAATATCTGAAGATTATATGGAATATTTCCAAAGGTAAGGCTTTAAAATTTCCAAAGTTTGATAAAGGTTGAGAATCAGAGTGAAAGTCTTTGGAAAGATAGCTAAACTGACGATTACTTCATCTGTATTTTTGCTTGGGAATCAAAGTGAAGTTGGTATTTGTTCTGGTGTCATCATCTTTTTCTTATCTAGCTTTTTTACAAGTTTTGACAGTTTTCTGGCTAAAGATTCACAGGAAAATCAAAGTTAGTCCTTTTGTTCTACCATCCTCAAATTTCTTAATGTTTAAATCCCCCGCTCAAGATTTTCCCTCCAGGAAGCAGGAAGTTCGGCTTTGTTGTGTGCAGGAGCCCAGTCCCATATATGTCCATCTTAAACATTTCATCTAAGTGGAGGCATGCCGTGTTTGTCCCTTTGTGACTGACTGATTTCACTAAACATCATGTTTTCAGGGTTCATTACAGTTTCAGTCTTCTGTCTGATGTGGATGAATGCTTGTCCCCTCTGTGGGACACAGGCATCTCCTGTGAGTCCCTCAGTGTCCATGGGGAGCCTGAGGTGGTGGTAAGTTTGTGCCAGTCAGACTCTTCTCTCCCAGCGGTGTTGTTTTAGCAGCAATGTCAGTGCGACACCTGGCAGGTGCTTAAGAGATGGTAGCAGCTTACAGCCTAATGGAGATGGCATTCTGTAGACCAGGAGGAGCAAGCTGTGAATGTGGGCAGAGTGTTCCTGGATGCATGGACAGGTAAAACAGGGCCATGGGAGCGTGCCTCACGTCTTTTTTTCTCTCGTGAACAGAACGGACGCTTTGCTGCTAAGGCTGTCGCTGGTGGTTGGCAGGGAAGTGTTCTATGCCGCCCTCTGGGGCAGCGTGCTGGCCAGCCCAGCCGTGCGCCTACCCGCCTCGCTCTTTGTTGTGGGCCACATCAACCGCCAGGTGCCTGTCAAGGAGCAGAGGTTCATGCTGGGGACGGATCACCAGCTTACGGTAGGTGCTACATGCCCCAAGCCAGGTTCCTTGGGACAGCTCATCTCCAAGTCCACAGGGACACACAGAGGCCTTTGGGCCTCTGGGCCCAGAGGAGCTCCCTGTTTTTCAGAGAGGAAAGATAGTTTTGTTTTTTGCAGGGGAGTTTTAGGTTTATAGAAAACTGCATCAATTACAGCATCCTCATGGTCCCCTACTCCCCTACATTCAGTTTGGCTCCCATTCACCTGCAGAATCATCTTGATTGATTCTAGTTCTTAACAGTTACAGATTAAGCTGCTATCAAATTAATGTACAATTTGTTTTGGGGTGGTTTTTATTTTAAGTGAACTGATACTTCAGATAACTTTTTTTAAAGCATTTAAATTTCTTTATTTTTTAAGTTAAAAACAAACAACATAATCTGATGGTGTCCCCTTTTCTTTTTAGAACATTCACACCTCCATAATCAATTATCCAAAACTTTTAGAGATGTAACAGGAATGTTATGCTTCAAATCATTCTGTTGACTCAATCTGAAATGACCTATTTCCCCTTCAAATGAAAATATTGACTTGGAAGGGTCATCAGTGTGATTCTTGATGCTTTGAATATCAGATGACTTTTTAACCCAAGAATTAACTCTGAAATTTATTGCTTTTGAGTAAGAACCAACTCAGTTGACTCACCAAGCAGGTTTCCAGAGGCTGTAAATCTCATGGGAGGAGATTGACCATCTTTCTCCCATGGAGCTGTTGATGGATTTGAACTGCCTGCCTTTGGGTTGGCAGCATAACTCCTTACCCATTAGGTGAGTTTTGCACAGCATTAGAACTGATTGGTTCAACTATGTGCCATTTATATCTAAACCCCTTTCCATAGTTCATGTTGCTTCTGTGGATTCTGCTTTCTTCTGTTACCTCTTTCTATAGTTCATTCAGAATGTCTCTGTGGATTCTGTTCTCTTAGCAGAATCTTTCCCCCAAGCCCCACATTCTTTTTTTTTTTTCTTTCCTGCCCTGTCTTATATAGACCTCTGTTCAAACTTAAAGAGTTGTCCTGCATCCTGTCCCAAGCAACTCCTGCTGCTGTCCTCACCATCACCTACTCCTTTTATTCTCAAACCCACCCCAGCAGGTCTCCCTGGGAGTACATCTTCAGGTCCTCCAGGGATGCTCTTCCTGCTTTGTCTCTTTTTTCCCCAAGCTGCTTCTTTTCTTGATGGACTGCTTTCTACTGCCACCTTTTGGTGAGTCCACATTAACCATAGAGTGTTCAGCCTTGAACTCTCTGTGACAGCCCTAGTTTTGAATTCCATTGCAGTGTGATGTATGTTACTGCCCCAGCTCAGTCTACTCCTTGGAAACTGGGGTAGACGGCTGCCCTCACGTGGACTCTGACTATTTACTAAAAGCATTGGTGAAAACTAAGCATAATGTTTAGAATAGCACGGACCTTCATAACCAGGTTCCATCTCCTGATTTTCAGCTTCACTGAAGACTTTTTCTGTCCATGTGCACTGCTTGCTTCAGCTTCTCATGTCTTGCTTTCATAACAGAACACAATTTTATAATTCTTGTAGTGTCCCATCCTCTATCCAACTCTTATCAAGGCTAATAGAGTTGCTTTCCTAAAGCATAGCTTTGTCCTTATCTATCCTGTGCTGTCAGTTATCTGGCTTCTTGCTGCATTCAGATCTAAGGCCAAACTCTTGAGTGTCCTAACAGTCAGTGTCCAGCTACTCCAGACATCTTACCCTACCCTCGGTTCCTGGGGACCCTGTGTGTACTGGAGTAGAACTGGAATCCATACGGTGTTTACTGGCTGGTTTTACAGAGGTGGGCTGCCTGGCTTTTCTTTGAAGACATCCCCAGGTGTGCTTAAACTTCCACATTTTCAGTCAGCAGCTGAGCATGCTGCTCAATTTGTACAAGGCAGAGACCCCTCAGACCCTCTAACCAACCAACCAACCAACCAACCAACCAAACTTGTTGCTATTAAGCCAATTCTAACAAATAGCGACCCTTTAGGGCAGAATAGCATTGTCCTGAAAGGTTTCTTACACTTGAGTCTTTATGGAAGCAGTCTTGTCACATCTTTCTCCTGGGAGCTAGCTTGTAGGTTAGAACTTCTAACCTTTTGGTTAGCACAGCCAGGTACTTATCACTGCACTCCCAGGGCTCCCACACCCTTTAATGTCCTGACTTCACATTTAGGATGCTGCATCTTTGTTCCAATCGTGCTACCTCGACCTCAAGCGTGCACTCGCTGCTGCTTCTTCTTTTCCTTCTCTCAAGTCAAAATGTAAATCCAACCTGCCTGTTTGTTTGTTTGTTTGTTTGGGTTTTGTTTAGTTTGTTATCACTAGAGACAGATGTTTATAAGTGCTTAGCTGGGAGAGAGAGTTAAGTGAGGAGTTATTGCTAAAGGAGCGCTCAGTATCTGAAGAGATAAAAATCTTTTGGGAAATGGAGGAAATGATAATACAACATGTTGTTACGCATTGATGAGTCAGGACGTCTCATAAGCTGACCCTCTAGCAAGCAGGTTCTCAGAGGCAGTAAGTCGTACAGGAAGAGATTGCCCATCTTTCATTATATATTTTCTTGTTACAACAAAAATAATATGAGTTTTAAAGAAAACAATTTTTTTAAAAACTCCAGACCTTAATTGTGTGCTGGGGAGGACGAGCTAACAAGTGACAAACTCCTGCCCACTGCCGTCCCGTTGATTCTGACTCGTGTGACCCTGTAGGGCAGAACTGACCCATAGGGCTTCCAAACCTGTGAACATTTGTGGGAGCGCACAGCCACACCTCCTTCTCACAGAGCAGTTGGTGTGTTTGAAATTGCCTGCTTTTAAATTTAACTGTAGCACCACTAGACTTCCTTAACGAAACGTGGTAAGTTTAAATGCTGATGATAATCTAGGAAAACAGTAGACAGAGGCTGTTTTGTATTATTATTCTAGAACTTTGAACTGCATTCTAAAATGATTTTCCAACAAAGGGTTACAAAATATATCCAATTAACCCATCCTCACCACCAAAAACAACCAGTTATAATTTTAGGGGAAGAGAACGATGTGTGAGTGCTGTGTGTGCTTCACCACTTAATAATAACAACAACGTCTGAAGACCCAAAATTGAGAGTTTGTTGCTACTTTGAAAGAGGATGCATGTTAACATATGGCGAGGCCAGGTTGGAAGATGTTGAGTATGTATTTTTAAAAGCCACAAAACTTTAACAGAGAGTGCAAATTGTATGCTGTGTGCACTAATTACAGTTTCTCATTTAATTCGTGGAAATCCCGTAAAGTAAGTGCTGCTCATTATTCTTGTTTTGCGAGAGGAAACTGAGGCTTAGTAGGATGGGGCCTCATCATGCAATTGTAGACTTACACTGGAAACGAGGCACTGATACTAGAATTCCCATCAGTAACCTCCGTATTTTCTCTAAATAGACAATATATAAAGAGCCATGGTGGTGTAGCATATTGTATTGGATTGGTAATCAAAAGATTGGTAATTTGATTCTAGCAAGTGCTCTGTGGGAGAAAGGTAGGCATTCTCCTCCCTTAAAGATTCGTAGTCTCAGAAACCTGATGGAGGGTCGCCATGAATCATAATCTAGTGAAGAACAGCGGATGGATAAGCTATGTATATGTGCATCCACATATACAAGTATAACTATATTCACAAGCTATTATTGTTCTATGCTGTCAAGCCATAGCCACTCTATAAATGACAGATGTGAACCTTGCCCTGTCCTATACCAGCCTCTCTTTGTCCTCATCAAGCCCATTGTGGTACCCACTGTGTCTGTCCATCTTCTTTCTCTGACCTTCTGTCTTTTCCAAAGAGTGTCTCCTCCTGACAACATGTCCAAGTATGTGAGACAAAGCTTCATCATCCTTGCATCTAAGGAACACCCTCATTGCACTTCCTCCAAGACAGACTTATTTGTTCTTTTGGTAACTCATGAGATATTTAGTACTCTTGGCCAGCACCACAATTCAAAGCCATCACTTCTTCTTGGGTCATCCTTATTCATCGTCCAACTTTCAGATACATAGGAAGCAACTGAAAACACCATGGTGCACCATACATAGGTATACCTACATCTTAACCTGCCTTTTGAACTCACTCTTCCCAGCTGCCTGATCTCTCCCTCTCCAGAATTGTTATGGCTCTCTTTTCATGGCTCTTGACTTCCGTCACCTAACGGCTGTTATTGTCTGGTGTGCATCTGCTTTACACCTGTCTCAATTCAGATACTGAATATTTGGAGAAGACGCTGGACTTACGGATTGCATTGATTTCCAGTACATTTGGGCTTGGCCGAGTGTCTTCTAAGTTTTAGTCTGACCTTAGATTCCTGTTGGAACTTAAGGATATACCTTTTTTGGATCAGAGGATTTAATATCTCAGAACCTAACCCATCAGTCCAAACCCCTCCCTTTCTCAGACAGGTGTGATCTCTGGCTGAGCATTTTGGGGTCACACACCACAGCACTAAGAGGACCTTGTGCGTTCCAATGATTTAGCAGAGTGATTTCCAGATTCCCAAGAAAGTGCTTTCTTATAGCTGTAAAGAATTGTGTGCACATGATGACAAATTTTACATTTTTGTAACAAGGAGTCCTAGTTGGGCTGTAGTTAAGCATCTGGTTTCTAACCTAAAGGCTGGCAGTTTGTACCTACTAGCCTTTCCAGAGAAGGGAAATGAAGCAGTCTGCTGCTGTAAAGGTGCACCAATTTGGAGACCAAATAGAGCTCTTCTACTCTGCCCTCCGGGATCATCTTAAGTCAGATGGACTTGACAGCAATGGCTTTGGTTAGTTTTGTCTTTGTAATGAAATGCTTGATTCCATTTTTTTTGTTTATAGGTGAAGTCTTTATGCGTGTCCCTGTTGGACTCCAATGTTCTGGTGCAAAGAAATAATCTGGAAATCGTCCTGTTCTTCTTCCCATTTTATACTTGTCTGGTAAGTTGTTTGTAGTGCCCGGGTAAGTCAGTGAAGCCCACCAATGGCTGAGGGGTGCTGGTGGTCAATCTCAAACTGTGTTTCTTTGAGAGATGAGCTCAGCCAGTTGATGATATTTGCTTCAGACAGATTAAAGTCCTTGTCCATTATTTGTGAACATAGTTTTCCCAAAGCTAATATTGCATACAGGCATACAGTGGAAAGTGTATGGCAGCTCTGCTTCAAGCAAATCTCTCAGCACCACCTTTCCATCAGTGTGTGCCTGTTCATGTCTCTGTGGCACATTTTGCTAAGTCTCACTTCAGTTCAGACGTTTTCATAATGCTATTGCACACTTAACAGATTACAGGACAGTGTATACGTAACATTTATGAGCACTGTTGGGGTGGTGATGGTAGTGTGTTATTGAATTGGAACCAACTCAGAGCTGACCCTCCACTGGGTTCTCAGCAGCTGTAAATCACACAGGAAGAGATTAGTCCTCTTTCTTCTGAGGAGCAGGTGGTGGATTCAAATTGCATGCTGTTGGGTTGGCAGCACAGCTTTTAAAAACTGGATCACCAGAGCGCTTATATGTGCTAGGAAACCAAACAAAAACATTTGTGTGACTCACTTTATTTCAGTGGCTGGAATGGAACCCACTATATCTTTGAGGTATGTCTATAACTTCACTATGCACAACAGCCAGGGGACTAACTCTTTTTGACAACCACCTTTTTTTTTCTTTTTTTTGTATGTGTGTGTGTGTGCACTGTCAAATCGGACCTGACTGGTACGGGAGGAGATTTTCCCTCCTTCTCCAGCAGAGCATCTGGTGGATTTGAACCACTCACCTCTGCGATTGACAACCACCTTTTTAAGATATAGCTTTGTAGATGGCTAAGTCTCATGAACTGCCAAGAGAACAAACAGGTCTGTCCCAGAGAGGGCAAAACCAAGCTGGTCTTTGGAGACAAGAATTGTGAAGCTCTCTCTCATGTACTCTGGACATGTTTCCTGGAACGGCCAACCCTCAGGGAAGAATATCATGGTTGGACGGTTGGAGGGACAGTGCAGGAGAGGAAGACCCTGAATGAGATTGATTAACATGCTGTCTAGGGTAATGAGAGTGGATGTGTAGACACAGTGAAGTTGCTCTAAACCTGAGTAGGTTTAGAGCTATTATACAGAGGGTCACTAGGAGTTGCAGATGACTTTACACACACAACAGCAACAACAAGGAAGGATATATGGTCCCTGAATGGCACAAATTATGCTCTCAGCTACCAACTAAAAGGTTAGTGGTTCGAACCCACTCGGTGGTGCCATGTAACAAAGACCTAGAGACTTGTTCTGTGAAAGTATGTTGTTGTTATGTTCTATCAAGATGATTCTGAACCATAGCAACCCTTTAGGACATGCCTGCCAGTGCTCCCAAGGCTGTAATCTTGATGAAAGTAGACTGCCCAGTCTATGGGGAGACTGGTGGGGTGCAGCCACTGACCTTTCAGATAGCAGCTGAGTACTGAATGCCACAGCACCACCAGGGCACCTGCCTATGAAAATTACAGCCAAGAAAAACCCCTGGGGAGCAGTTCTGCTCTGTAACATGTGGCGTCACCATAAGTTGGAATTGACTTTACGGCACCGCATTTGGTTTCATTGTCTAAGGAAGGGCTGCATGTTAATAGGTCAGTGATGTACTCTGTAGTCCCTGGTAGTAAAGCTTCCTCTGTCTTTTCACTAGGACCCGGATGAGAGAGCCATTCCTCTGCTCAGATCTGACCTGGTCCGTGTTCTCTCGGCCGCCACCCAGACCCTGCTGAGGAGGGAAATGTCGCTCAACAGGAGACTCTATGCGTGGTTGCTAGGTACTGAGAAATCTGCACTCATAGAAAATCCAAGCTGGCAAAACCATTTAGTGCTGATTTGGGGGATCATTTTCCATCTTATTGATATGTTTCCAAACTCTAAGGTTTTGGGAGAATTATATACTGGGTGCACATTTATTTTCATTTTGGTTGTTTTACAGTTTTTATAAAATAGGAAAATAAAAATGAGAGGTGAAAAAAACAAAATGAAGTGCATTTAAGAAACTTGAAATGCAACAAAAACTGTCATTAAACCTTTTTCAAGAAGAAATGTATTACTGGGGGGATGTTCATGGTCTGAGAGTGTGTATGAGAAAACCCACCACATCGTGGACTATGTATACATAAAAGAGGGTTTGGATCAAAGGAATGGCGTGTCTGCAGGAATTATAAGGATAACCTTGGGAGAAGGTGTAGGTAGCCTCAAGTTTGTAGACAGTAGCCATGACTGCTGGGCAGGAGGCTTCATGGAGCAGGTCCTGGAAACGATCGTGCTTCAGTGGCTGGTGCATTATGTGTTGCCCTGCTGAATGAAGGGATGGCCATTCAAATCCGCCAGCCACATCCTAAGAGGATGATGGGCAGTCTCCTCCTGCAAATGTTTACATTAGAAGCCCAGTGGAAAGTCGCCATAAGTTGGAACAAGCATGTTAACAGTGAGTTTAAGAGGTAGAAGGTGTGCGAGGTGGTAGTTAACATCCTCTGCTGCTAACCAAACTGTTAGATAAAATCCATTCTGAGACACCTTGAAAGAAAGGCCTGGCCATCTGCTTCCCCAGAACTAGCCGCTGATAACTATATAGATCACAGTTCCACTCAGGTACACAGTGTGGTCACGGAGAATTGGAGGAATTCACCAATCACTGATTAATTAGTCCAAGCACCACAAAAGGCACAGGTAACCATTTTATCAATTCCCGTACTCATCTGTCTAAGAAAAATTGACTTTAAGGACATTAGCCATTTAAGGGCATTAGCCATTTTAGCATTCAACACATAAACATTATCACACTAATATCAGTCAATCCTCTACCTCTTCTCTCTCCTTTCTTCCGATAAAAGGCAGAGGAATCATTACATGGGGGTTACTCAGGACTTTAAGAAATATCCATAGGCTCATTGGGCATTTTTATCAAAAGGCCGAGTTTGTTAAAGGCAAAACTCATGTTTCTAGTTCAGATCTGCTGACTCGCTCAGGTTTCAACTAACACGGACTCGGTAGGAAACAACGGAACTTCCTCCCATAGGGTCTCCAAGGCTGCAAATCTTTATGGAAGCAGCCCAGACTGCTCCGTCCTTCTCCCATGAATGGCTGGTGGGATTGAACCATGGACATTTTGGTTAACAGCTGAGTTGCTTTACCTACAAGATTTCTTCAGCTGCCCCAGGTGTACCGTGCGGATACTGTTCCTTGCCGGGGGACCTTACATAGTTACCTGAGGCTCAGATGGGGGCTTCCCAGTGAGGATGTCTTGTCTGTGAGGTGCCAGCCAGTGGTCTCTGACCCGTGGTGACCCCAGGAGTGCCCAAGTGGAACTACGCACCCGAGGGTTTTCAGTGGCTGATTTTTCAGAGGTAGATCATCAGACCTTTTTTCCAAGGTGCTTCTGGGTGGACTCAAACTTCTAACCTTTTCGTTAACAACTTAGCACATTATTCGTACTACAAAAGAATGCTTGATTTTATGTAGTTCTTTGTAAACAGATAGTGTTGTTGTTGTTATGTGCCATC